AATCCTCTCACACTCGCATTATTATCACACGATATGTATCATTACATAAAGCTAAATATTAATTTCCATCAGAAGTGAAACAATTTAAACTAATTCTTAGACGGTCCAAGGTCTTGCGAACACGACCCCCCTTCTCCCTTCGAAAAACAAAATAAAGCAGCCTGGTCTGTCCCCAAGTAATCAAAGGCACTTAAGTTGGACACCCTGACAGAGAGTTCTGTCAACGGCCTTGTCTAACTCCCTCTCTGGACCGCTGGAGAATCAAGTTAGTAACAATAATGATATGCTCCATACGAAACTTAACAAAAGAAACAAATGGCTAATATGATCTACATTCAACCAACCTACGAGACCAATAACCATCGAGAGACAAATTTCCATATTCAGCTCTCCTTCTCAAAGCAGAAACAAAAAGCAACCTCTAAATGGAACATAATTATAATAAAAAAAATTGCAGCTACATCATGTGTCATACTTCAGTTGAAATTACAATTTCAAACCACTTATGATGGACAAGATCAATTCTTTGACAGGACATACAGCCAATACCGATATATTCTCATGAATAGGAAATCTAATTATAAATAAATTATAACTCATCCCACAATCAGGTACTCTATTGAACACTGCCTTAATTTCCTCATATTTTCTTTAGTTAAAATTGCTGTTTTATCTCCATAGGTGTTTGGTGCTCCCTCCTTGAGCTTATGGCTGTCATACCAAATTATTTGAATGAGTTAATTTGCAAGAAGCATTCACCCCCATAACTAAGAAATAAATTACACATGAAATTGGAACAATTCAAATAGTCAAATAAACATCTGAAAAAAATCTACCTAATATTAGTATCAAAAGATTTCACTAAAAAAAATTCCAAACTAAAACCACCCCCTTTAAAATATAGTGGATCATGGGTAGAATTTTGTGTGATGAAGGTAACATTAATTAATCACCTAAGTCACTGTCTGTCATGGACAAAATAGACTTAAGTATAACTTCCACTATTGGAAAACTCCCATGGTATGACAATTTTGTAAGGAGAGATTTCCTTAAATCTAAACCAAGGGGACTTACAATTATGCTGACCTTCATGCGTACTACATTTCACTCTACTTTTCAAAATATTTCCCTCCAACCCTTGCTTAAATTTAAAACTAAGGTAACATGAAAAACAAGACCAGCTACCAAGTGCCTCCAGGGCACTGTAGCAAACTGTTATCAAGGAACCTGCTTGAAAATTCACTGTTCTTCATGTTTTTGTCTGAGTCAATCTTCCTTAGTGAGTACTTTTGTCAGCCACTGTTTTAGACAAAAGCTACAAAGTGGATTCTTAAAGTAATGAACTAACCAACAAAATTAAAACCATGGCATCATGATTGAATCACTAAGGGATTATTCATAGCATATCAACAGAACACACCTCACTCATTCAATGCACATTGTGTGTACTTCATTTGAGAAAGAAAAAATTTGAAAGTTCCAACAAACTATTGAAGGCATCAACATTGCACTGTGATTACACAGAAGAGAATGTCAAAAGCCCCTCAAACAAGACCAGCAAAAAACTGCTGTAAAAACAAAATAAATATAAGAAAAAGCTGATGACCCACTCTGTAAGACATGTAAATGATACAATCAGACCTTCTGCAGATGTTTTGCTATGTGTAACTACCTTTGCAGTAAGGAACACACAACACACACATCCACTGCATGGAAGGTCACTGAAGACTTACTATACCATGCCATAGGGGCAGTGCAAAAAATCATTAACCCTTAAAGTCCCACTAGTGACAGAATTTCTCCTTAAATTATCAGTACGATATCAAGCAGACAAGTAATGAGAATAAAGAAAAATATAAATTGGGGGACTACTGGTTGATCCAATTCTAAATTCTCCAAACTAGCATCATATAAATTGTGTGGCAGACAGTAAGGAGAATTAGTCATGAAATCTTGGGAGTTAAAGGGTTAAAATGCAATTAATGAGTGTGGTTTATCTTACACATTACGCTATGAAGTATGTAGCACACACAGATTTGTATAAAATTCCTTTACAGAGTTCTCTGTTATGTACATGAATAAAGTACCAGTACTTCTATGAATATGTTCTAAAGAAAGCTCTCTACAAATGGAGTAACATGTACAGTAACTTATACACATAGTAGTAATGATAGCAGATTGGGCTGCCTGAGTTGTGGAATATTCTTGTGGAGTTGTAATATTTCACAATGTCCGGTACTTGTCTTCTGGAATAGGTCTGTACGATCAATAAAGAATATCACAAAATTAAATTGATAGAATGAACACATACCTATTTAATAAAGTTTACACAGCATTTAAGTGCAGATTTTTTATGTACCAAAAACCATGCCAATTTAAGAAAGTTTGTATGAAATTTAATTATATATTTGTTATTTCAGTAGATTATTTCTGTGTTTCATGTACATGTACATGTAATCAAGAAAATTGCAAACAACAGTTGGGAAACGATAAACAATAAACCTAAGTCATGACTATATACATCTGTACATGGTGACATTCAAATAAACAGCAGTGTAGCTTCCGAGAGCCTATTTGGTTAAGTGGCAAATAAAGTCCTCTGCCCAGCAATTCTAATATTATTTTTTTTTTAATGAATTGCCTATACTAGAAAAGACATGTCCCCATAAGTACAAAGAAATAACAGTTAGTAGAGTTAAAAGCAGTCACTTGCCTACTGTATCCTCCAGGAATACTCAATGTACCATCTTTTGTGAGAAGCACTGACAACTGGTTACCTTGAAGTTCATCACCTGGTTTGTAAGCAGAGAACATTACATCAACAACATGAAACTCTCTCAAAGGAATTGATAGGAATGAGGAATTAATAGAATACTGGGAAAAAAAAGAGAGCATAAATTCCGCAAGTGATGCCTTAAACTAATGAGTAATTTAAATATTTCAACAATTTTAGTAACTGACAGTGAGTTACCTGATGGATTTTCATCACCTGAAAAATTGTGCCTGGAACAAGATGAAAGAATCATGCAAAAAGTTAAGGAACACAACTGAAGCTGTAAAAATAAAATGCTTCAAAGCACTGTACATAGTAATAGCAATCCATCTTAAAATTTCACATACTGAAAAGCAACAAAAGTATTCAGAGACTGTACCCTGTTTTTGATCTTGAATAACTCTAGATCAGACACTGAATACACAGTTTGCTTAAAGCTGCATTGTACCATCCCAGTGCTTTAAAGTGCATGTACAACATGCATTCTTAATAATGTGTGCAGCTTACCCACTAAAAATTTGTTCAATGACATCATCTGCATTAACTCTGCTGTGGCTTGGTCTTTGGTCATCAGGTTTCTGTTTATCACAAAAATTTGTACAAATTATTTTGGAATCCTTGTTTTTGAGGACTATTGTAAATGTAAATGGAAGAGTCCTTAAACCCTTAACTCCTGAGTGACCAAGACAGAATTTCTCCTTACTATATCTGTACAATATCATACAGAAAAGAGATGAGAATAAAGAAAAATATCCATTTTGTGATTACTAATTGATCTGATACCAAATTCTCCCAACAAACATGATAAGAATCATTTAGCAGACAGCAAAGAGAATTAAAAATGAGATCTTAGGAGTTAAAGAGTTAAGAAATATGCAGGTACATGCACATATACATGTATAGCAAATTATAACAAAATTCATGACTTTAAAATAAGCTAAAAGGGAGGGCAAACTGCATCTACTTTTCATATCAGTTGTCCATTAACTTGCAAAATATAAACAGCTGACCAGCAACCTGTAAATTTTCTGTAGCTTTCGATTTAATTGTTTCTTGAGCATGAAGATCACCTGAACAAATACTTGTTCATGGTTTAAGGTGTGTGTGTATTTTTTCTAAAAGAAAGTTTGAAGTCTGTTTTTAATGTAAATGTTTTGTGGTTTGTTGGACATTTCCATGTAATTCTACAACAAAAAATATATGCTCCATGACCATTTGACGCAGAAATATAACTATACCTTCCAGCTTATTCTCTTGCCTTGCCTCTCAGGAGCTGGTGACAATGTTTGCTCAGAACCACAAAATGCTGTGTCATCAGCTTTTAAGATGTTAAGGTTGATAAGCAACATAATAAGTAAACAACATGGCAAAGCTTACAAGTATGATCTGAATTAGTGGGCAATTCATTTTACAGCACGTTAAAGACCTTTGTTCCTACACCTATAAAATAGGTTCTTTTTCACTACTTCACATTTGCTTCTCCGCATCCACCTCTGGAAATTTGAACCACTATAGACTGAATTTATTTATCTGTACTAACAAAAAACCTCATGCCCAACAACACTGTTACAAGTTACAATTATCTGATATTTCATAACAGTTGATGAAGGATACACCCTGAGTGCCCACCTTTCCCAGACCCTGAACTTTGTTTCCTGTTAATAGGAAAAAAATTGCATGACAATAATTACAAATAGTACTTATTAGGAGGAAGGTAATATGGCAATAAAACTAATTTAACATCACCATGCCTCCCTGCCATTAAGCAAGCTACATGTATACATGTCTGGGCAGTCATATTTACATCTGACACTAGTACTTGCAGATGATAGGATGCTAATCAATTTGAGGATCCAATAAAAAAGATTGTTTTCCTCTCCAAATTAAGTAACAGTAACCCACTGACATGATCAGTTATTATGGAAACTTTTGAAGCCTGAATGGTGCAGCATACACAAGAAGAATCAATAAAATCAAGCAAAACAAAAGAGTGGCAGAAAGAAGAAAATGAAATGTTACACCTTTGTCTCAAATAAACATGTCAAACAAGTAGCACATACAGTTGTATGTAGAAGAAAAAAAAAATTGCATCAAGTGAAATCAAAATCATAAAATTAAGAAAAGAAAAATGGTGAGTGCATGGCTGAGTATGCTAACACCATTCCGTGGTTGAATACCTCCTACTAGATCTGCCCTCCAAGCTGGATGAAAAAGAATGACCAGTTGAATACCCGGATATCCGTGACAGTGTGCTGATGCTCCTGACATGGCTACTGCCGCCACAGGGTGGCTCACTGAAGCTCCGTGAATGCCCAGGAATGAAGTTCACTTTATCAGGATCACTGCCTGCAGTTTCCTGATTTTCTGATACACTTTCTTGGCTGCCACTCAAGACTGATTTTCTTGCCTCAGCTACTCCTGGTGCATCACTGACTGAGTCATGATCAGAGGGTGGTGCTCTGTTTTCTGCTGTTTCAGTTGTCGCTTGATTGTGTGATGGTGAATAAGGTCTGAGGGAGAAAAGGTTATGTATAACAATTGGCACATTGTACATTTACTTTTTCATTATATCAAGGAGATATTCTGTGAAGATTTTAGATGAAGAGCAACCTGCAGAATCAATAATTAGTTATTTAGTTACATACTTAGCTCCTCCTGGAGCAATTAGGCCATAAATGTTTACCCATGTCAGGACTCAAGGGATTTCCTAGCTTATCTCTTGTAAATTATGCTTAAATATGCACAGGAAATTTGAAAAAATGGTTCTTTACAGTATTATCACAAGACCTGAGATGAGTAAACAAGACTTAAACACTGAAGGGGTCTTTTCATAACAGGATCAATAGCAAGGTAAAAATTGGCATGGCCAGCAAGCTTTGGGCACAATTTACCAAGTTTGATTTTCATAATCTTTGTCAATAGACACAACAGGTTTTAGTTCTGTTCTCTGATAACATACAATCCTTCATTCTGTTATGTACAAGGTATTTTAATTAAGAATGTATGGTATGGTGTTAATGGTTACCTTTAAACCATCTCATTTTAAAAGCCCTTGAATAGCGTTACAACACTGATTGAGATTGTAGAATGCATAATCAACATAGGAAAGTGTAACATGAATATTTCAGCACTTACACTTTAAAAATTGAATCTCCAGATGTGAGCTGCATACTGATTTCAACCTTTAAAAAAAACCATGAGAGAATGAAATTTTATAGAACAAATACAATTTTTTTGGCTAAGAATTCAATCCTTCAAAGCCTTTCATAAATTTTAATTTGAATAGCTTGATATACCTCAAGAATTGAGTTGTCCTGGCGCAAATCAGTCTTGTTTTCATATCCTTCAAGAATATATCGCTTTACAGTTGAAGCTGATCCAGCAAACTCTGCTAAGTTCACATCCACAAAGCCAAGCTACAAGAAAACACAAGAGAAATATGACATTACCGCTGTTCCAAATAAAATAGTAGATTACAATAAATGTGTTTAAGATCATAATGAGGTTGACAACTTGCAAGAAATTAAAAGAAATTACAAGAAATTGTTAATTGTCAGCTGTCATGTGACATGACACTTCATCAAAGAGAATATGCCAATATCTACCCTTGAAAAGAGAAATTGCCATGAAAGCCATTAAAAATAAAAAAGACGAGAAAAAATCGTAGACTAACTTAAAAGCAAGAGTAGATTTTTTTATCTGCTAGTAACTGTTAAATTGTACCAACCTTGATGTGACCTTTGCCTCCTTTGGTTTCCTTAGAAAAAAGGAGAAAAAAAGCAGTTAAAGGACTGCAAGTACCAATCAGAAAAATATTAAGAGATTAGACAAGCAAGGGTTGGGTAAATTGACTCATCTAATCCTAAGGGGGTGGGTGGGTGGGATGGGTCTATTCAATGGTTCTTGAGGGATCTTCAGGGACTTTCCTAAGCCCTTTTTTTTGTTACAAGAATTGATTACAGTTAACATAAAAGGCTAAACTTCTCTGATACTTTCACTTTTTGATCACTTATGAAAAGGCAACCACAAGAAGTTTTAGTTTTAATTTTGCCATTAGTTTTAGAGTCTAGATTTATTCATTTGGACCATGCCAAAAAATGCTCTATTCAAAATGGAGTTTTGCACTGAGACATATTGTCAGTATTGTCTGGAGCCTCCTGGACAAATTCAGGTTGTTGAAATTTTTGCCAGTCAGTCCTTGACATATTCTTGAATCCAGTTAAGTCACTCCTTACAAACTCTCGACGGACAACATTAAATCATTCTGTGCTAAAGCCAAGCCTTGCTTTGACTCAAAGTGTCTAGTGCCTGTTAAACTTAACCTTTCTATTTGCTAAAAAAATATTTAGCTGAATCTCAATTCCACTTATCCCCACAAATATCCAGGAAATGTGGGATATTCAATTTCTATCACTTAGAGAGATTTTAAAATGTCCTCAGATTTGCATGTTATTCTGGATAAGTTTTCCTTCCTTACCAAGGGTATTTATCAAAATAAAGACAGCCAGCATGTTTGTATATCACACAGTATCAGACTAATCCCCATAATCTCAATAGGAAAAATAAACCCAGCCGTGTTCTATACAAAAAACTTCAGCCACGCTGCACATATTCACGAACATGCATTTGTTGGTGGAACATATTTTTACCCTGTATAAGCTAATGAACGAAATACAAAGAGATATTCATGTATAGTTAATGTTCCTTAAATTTAGTTCAAATACTCTACATGTACCTTTGATAAATAACGCGTTCTTAATCTTGTTTTTTTTAAGACACCAAGAGACTTGATCCTATGTGAAGCCATGTACTTATTAACGACTCCTTACAAGAAATTTTCAAAACAAAAGGACAGTTGCCAGAACTTAAAAATAGAGTTTGTATGAGACTCAATATCTCAACAATAGTGGTTTCAAGGCACTGTTGTGATACTTATAAATATCACGAACAGCTATAGGGAGATGAGTTAATGCAGAAATCTGAAAAAATCTGTACTTTGACCAACCTGATTTCATAATACTATAAACAGGAAGTGAAGACATTAACATAAGGAAGTCTAAAGTAGCAGTAATCCTTTTTTATTTATTTAATATCTTCAAGACCTAAAGGAGCTTTAAATTCCCCAAATTAAGCTAATATCAGACTTAAATCTGTTAACCTGATATCACTTTTTGGACAATTATTTTAAAGCAGTCAACTGAATGTTAAATGAATGGTAAAGTGTAGGAATCTGGTCTGTTTAACCCCTAAATCCTACAGTATGAATTTTTATTCTCTTGTCTCACTATCTTATGTTTCCTTTCCAAAATTAATTGAATGGAAGCAAAGATGTATCTATATAATTATGTAAGTGGTAATATCTCCTGCCCTCTCATCCAAAGGCCTTGAGACTTGAACCTTCAAAAAGCTCTGTTGTATTTTTTTCCCTTCTTAAGAAACTTTGGCAAATATAACAATTTACAATTTATCCTAATCTTGGATCAAACCTTTTCATTTATAACAATGGCTCATTTCCATGCTACTCAAATAAATTTTAATTTGAATTATTTTGCAAGCCACAAGATGAGAGGGAGAGATAGAAATTTTGAATGACTAATGTTATATGAATCCATGCCAACATAGGCCAAAACAAATTCTCAAAATTGTTTCACAAATGTCTTTCAACCTGCCCATCAAATATTGGCAAGAAAAGAAATCAACATCAAATTTCTGTCTAAAAAAACAGGCAAAGCCTATGCTCTGATTACACTCACCACACCCAGAGACAAGCAAAGAAGCAAGTTTTCTACCATTCTAATATGCAAATTTGCCAGGTGACTTGGAAATTAGTCAAAACAACATGATGATTATACAGATAATAAACACAAATGTTTCATTCATGTGCAAATCATGATTCATTTACATCTAAAACTAATGATAAAATATGTGATATGTTTATCTAAACTGATCTATTAGAATATTCCATAACTAGCTATTATCAACAAGATGGCAATCCTGGATACTAGCATTCTGTCACGAAATGTGTAGACTTGATGTCTGCAAATACTCAAATAATGCATAATGCAGTACACCATGATTGAACATTCTTGATTACATGCTCACTAGAAAAGGTGCTAGCAGAAGCAAGTGAATTAAGTTACAAAAATTACATCTTAAAATTTATGAAAAGAAGTGAACATGACATTGCGATGTAAATGGCTTGAGGTAACAAATGTTAGTGCTGAAGCTAACGAAATCATGTGATTTAAATTGTTTTCAATCACAACATGTTGTCAAGCACACTGCTGACAATTCCTTGAGATATTACAATTCTCAGGAAAATTGATAAATACTGTCATACACAACAAATTAAATCGTTAAATTCATAATGAGAGAAAGATTCCAAAGGTTTGTTTGAGTTTCTGCTCGCTAAGATGAATATGTTGAGGCAAGAAAACAAGTGCAAGATAATTAAATAATGTGAACGGAAAAACTATTCTCAAGATCTTCAGGATGGTCATTCAAATCTGTACGCAATCCTTTACCCCAATTTTTGTCCGCAGATTTGGATTGATCCCTTTTCATCCAAAAATTTATACGTTGATTATTGATTGAAAGTAGGAATTTCCAAATTTTCTGCATAAGTCAAGCGGTAAGAGGTATAAACACTCTATTGTGTGGTTAAATACGACCTGGAGTCTTGTCATTTTAGGAAACCACATGATTTCCCACTTGTGCAAAACACTAACTGACGATATAATGAAAAAATTATCGCACGCTCGGGGTAAAATGCTCCTCAAAACTCCCTCCCTCTTTCAATCGATTTAATTTGTTCGTGAATGTGTTTAACAAGAAATAATTAAAACAACCGCGCTAAACTTACAAGAAATCGATCAGTCGATACCGACTGATTTACATGCAAGACTTTGTAAGGATGAACTGGCTTGTTCCAGAACAACAAATCAGGCATGACAACTTAAACGAACCATGACATGAAGAAAAGGAAAGAGTCAGCAGATTACGAATTTTGCTTTTTAATCTTCAGAGGAAATGTAAGAATTAACCTACAAATGTTTGGAGTACAACAATAAGCTAAGGCTATAGGCAATCAAGACGTGATCGGATCGAAGTTTTTCCCAGATATTTTTCATGCCAGCACATACTTCTATAGTTGCCGTAAATTCTTGTTAACAAAGAGGTGATCAAAAGCTCAAGCAAGAGATCAGATGTACTATTTGAAACGTCCCTTGAAGGCAAAGGTATCAACTGTTTTCATCCCAAATGAATGCCAGAAATTGCAGGTGGCCCTTAAACATCGCAACTCTGCGAGCCCGGGGCGAACAAAATTGCACAACCACTCAATTAAAACTTCACCGACAAACACGAATATGTTTTACCACTAGCAACCAATAAAGAAATTGAAACAGTTTATAAGTAAAATGGTAGAAGACTAAATATCTACGATTGATCTATAAGACCATTTCGACATAATGAAGTTATGTTGTTTTGAACTCATACCTTCCGAATGGACACTCGGTAGTTGCACGCATCTAAAACTCCCGTAGAGACATTCGCTGTCATTTTGCATGGAAAAGTAACGTTCTTTCCCCACTTTACGCAATGGTTTCCAACTTCCTCCCTTACAGAAGACAAAATCACGAAACAAAGGAGAAATTAAAATAAAAGCCGCATAACAAATGCGTTCTTTCTCACAGAACTCAGCAGCTAATACCTGGTTGAAAAGCTCGTAAAATTTCCACCTTCTAATAATCTCATTTTAGCGAATAGAACTCCGCTAACGAAAGGTACACTCGTCAGCTGGTTCAACTTAAAGTTCACGTCAAACTTAAACTTTTTCTTCTTCATGTTTGTTTGTTATCCAGGGCTTCTAAGATTATATTTCCCTCTCCTACCTGCCGACGACATTTTCTCAATAACAAAACAGTAACATCTGCCAAGATGGTACCCACAGTTCTCTCTGCACCGCAGCGGAAGTCAGCACGTATTTGACATATGACTTCCGGTGAAATGTTTCTCCTTCCTTCGCGCTGCTACGACTTGAGCATTTAAATGAAACTTATACAATTATTCTTTTGATAAAATGAATTGGGAGAAATGAAAACAATTTTTTTCTAGAAAAAATTTCTCGGAGGCTTGAAACTTTGGTGGGTAGTCGTGGAATTCTTAGAAATTCCCGATTGTTCGGAAGTTTGAATGTTTGACCCGAAACAAGGAAATGATAGTAACACGTGACACACAAGGTCTCCAGGTTTGAATAATCTGGTGGTTTCAGTACGTAAGAATGTTTTTTGGGAATTCTGACACGTCTAAACTTAAAATCGATATATCGAAAGTTTTCGTTTCTTCGATATCATGAGACCATTAAACAGCATTTCACTCTCGAGATCGAAACCTAATATCGCGTTATTCTTCAACTGCCATGTTGACCGACTAAGAATAAAGCCAGGGAACAATCGAAAGGAAAATTTTAAAAGTAATTGTAACATCGTCACATTTCCTTTAAGTGAAAAGGGTCTTGAAACTTTATTTAAAAAGAAAAGTACGTCAGACCATGTTATATTGGTAGATAATTTGACTGTGACGGTTAGGGTAAAGTACTTCAGTGTAAGTGACTCGATGAAGTTGCAAAGATCTTTGCTACTTGCGTGTGTAATTAGGTATCGACGTAAGATAATGACACGTCATCCGACATGCATGTTGCCTTTCCGCTTAAAAATAAAGTATGATTCAAACTAGATAATCATTTCCGGATGTTGGTCTGTTTGTACAATATAGTCTTCTCAGAATTGTTACTTTGCCTTCTTGAAAGGGTTTTCAAATTCAAAGCGCTGGTAGAGAACAAAAGGGTGATAGAGGGTACTTTTCTCCACTTAATTACTCCAAAAGAAATGACTATGTAGATACTCAGGAAAATGTAAGTTCAGAACAATTTATCATCAGTGGATACCACAAAAATGAAAAAAATGGGCGTCAGTTATTGACCTCGATATTTTATGTAAACATGGCTTAATCAGCAGGATTCTTTGACCAGAGACCCGTTTATCCGCACCCGAGTGAAACTCACAACAACAGACAAAAAAGAGCTAAAAAAACATCACGCAAATTTTTCTCATAATTCTAAAGGTCACAGCAATTTCACGCTTGGTGTTAGCTTTATCGTGTTTTGATTGCCACAGCACTTCACAGCGATAGACCTCCGGCTGTACTTACCGCATAAAATTGGATCACAGCTTCTGGAAAGAGCATAAAAGAGGCCCACCTTAAGACTTTGCAGGCGGTTATTTTTTTGGCGTCATAAGTGGCATAAAATTAAAGCGGGTTAAAACTGGCCAGACTGACCGAATAACGTCCCTTCAAAATCTTTGTCACAACACTGTGCGATGCAGCTCCAACATGGACAATACCAAAGGGATTACCGGGGCCCTCCTGGTATATTTTTCCCCCTATTTATATCTAGAAATAGCGACACGTTATGAAAATTTCGACCTGCCAGTGGTTTGTTTTCGTTCCCCGGTAGTTGAGGCAATTTTATCCATTGCATGCCCGATGCCCCTCTACGCGGGGTGGGGATTAAGTAGGTAATGAGTTTAACTGTCACTTGTTTGCGAACTCGTTTTGCAGACTGGACTTGAATTTTTACTTAACAGGAAATCAGAAATTTACAAACGAGAACAAGATATTATTTTAATTCATTGTATAATTTAAAAAATTTAAGGAGAAAAAAATGAAAAGAGGAACTGACTTTGTTATATTTTCCTCGGGAGTCGGGCCTTTCATTGCCTTTCACTGGCAGTAAAAGTGGATACCCTGGTAACCTCGAGAGAGAGAGAGAGGAGGGGAATTATCGATTGGTCTCAAAGGGTTAGGGAGTGTCTACAAATAATATGAAACAAATCTATTTACAAAAGTAAACTTCCTAAAGCTAGTAACTGATGCCAAACAAACAGGACAGCTTCTTGACCCCTTGTGTTCAAATTAAAGGCCTAACAACAAAGAAAAAAAAGAGCCTCGTTCAGTTCCTTTGAAACCAGGAATATCGCTGCTTCCTCTTAGAATACACGGAATTGGGCGGTTTCTTGACGCATGCGTCGATTACTTGATCGTCGAGACTTATTGAAAAGTGTGCAATTCCTGGCGGTTCGTTCGATGATTTTCTGCACCCTCGTAACAAAGCAAAATGTGAGGTATAAGAAGACTGCCAACACGCCTCCACTCAACATCACAGGGGATAGAATGACGAGTAAGGAGAATGACGCTACAGTGACGGTTCCCCCGAAAACTAGAAGTGCGCAGAACGATATGGAAAGAAACGAGCCTAATACAAAGGCTAAGAAAACCAGAAAAGGCAAAAAACCAAGAACGACCAAGATGACCAAAAATAGGCACATAAAAGGATGGTTCTCAAGAAAATGTTGAGCTTGCCTGATCACAGGCATTGCTTGACAGTCTGCTTTCAGACTGGATGCGTATTGAATCGTTTGTCGAACATTACTCTTCAGCCTTAAGCTTGGAAACACCTGTTCCATACGCTCGATCCAAACCATGGCGACAAAAAACTAGGGAAGAGAACACAACAACAACAAAATCATTATAAAGAAACCAATTCTCGGTAACAGGCTAGAAAAGTTCCTAGATAAAGGGGGTAAGTTTCCGAAGAAACTGTAGTGCTGCGTCGGTGGGAGAGTATAACAGGGTAATTTAGTATTATCAACCGAGTTGATAACGTATATTAGCCACTTAATTCGATCTCTTTAATTTCTCTTTAATTCTATGGTTTGGATATTCGTCAGAGCGTTAGCTTTTTGTCAATCGCTCTGAAGAAGGGCTAACGCTCGAAACGTCAGCTTTTAAACTCTTTACGGTTGCCAATTTACGTTATCAACTCAGTTGATAGTACTAAATTACTCTAGAAAAGTTCTCCGTTCGTCAGCAAACGGCTGATATTTTTCTTACCCAACATACGAACTTTTAAGTTACTAATGTAGGTGAAACAACTTCCTTGAATTCATAAAACAGCTCTATATTTCCCTAAGCATTACTCTTCAAAACAGATTTCAAATAAAAAAGGATCCTATGCAGAATTGCGCTTACTTGCAATTCCAGTGGTGAGTTTCATATGTCGCTTATGTAAAGAAAGACTTTAAATATTCGTCTATGCAGGGGAAGTTGTTAAACCTACATCTTTTTCTGTAATCATACTAAAACTGCAGGTGGGTTTAAACTGCGGGTGGGTTTAAACTGAATTTGCACCATTACGACAGAGCTAACCTGGGTAGAAGTCTTTTTGCGTTTCCCCGTAGCCAAGTGAAGTGCGGGCTCAGAAGTAGGTTCCGTGAAAATATAGGGCGAAAGGGAGCAAAGAAATTGTCTTTGCACCACTAGCGCTCTTCTCTCTTTAGCTCCTTCTTCTCCCTTATGCCTCCACGCTTCTACTGCTTGGCCTGAGGGGAACGAAAAGGACATCTATGCAAGCCAAGGAAGATATTTTGATGAGCAAAGTCGCACGAGTCAACCTTACTTTTACCCTTAGCCATGTGCGCTTATACTACGAAAAATTCTCTTTCCAGAAGGTCTGCATTTTCAGGACCATTCCATTTCCATATCAGAATCTATCTTTCCTGTCAAATTTTAGAAGGTCTATTGAGTAAGCCCCTTTTTTTCTTCTTAAACAAGTTAAAATTCACCAAGAGTCTTCTAGCTTACCTCACAAAGTTGAACTCGTAAATCCACTTGTTTCAATTACGTAACAGTCACTTAATAGGCACACTGACAGCGCCTGACGTCCCCGCGCGAGCGCGCTAAATTCAACAGTTAACTCGTTTCTACTCCAAAGTGGAGAAAGGTTTTTAAAGAGCATATGGGAAATTCTTTTGAGCAAGAGTGTACCGGCTGGAGCTTACGCCAAAAATTTAGTTGAAGCAGCACCATAGTAACCGTTTGGTTATCTTAAGGTACAAATGTAGCACACTGTACTTTGCTTTATTTAATTACATCTGCCTTCCTCTTCAAGCTGATTACGTTGTTACATAAAATCAGTTTTACAAGCCTTCCAAAAGATGAATTATAAATTTTATTCATCGATTGCATTAACTCCAAGCTACCTGGCTGTTAAATTGTCAAACAGGTTAGGATTAGGGTTCTTTTTAACTTCTATTTTACTAGGTTACGACAACATGTAGTATTTCTAGTGTTTTCATATATTCAATCATTAAAAAAAAAGGGAAACCAAATCATGTAATCAAATCAATAAACATTGACTGTGCATAATACATAATCTGAAAAACCTTCAATCTACGTGACAAATATTTATATGACTCAACCGGCGTCAGCTGCGTCGCTCTACCACCACAACCTAACGTTTAATTGCATTAAAACTGCACAGCACCGGTATTGCAGAGGTCATGGGTTGAAATCCCGTACAGGCCTGAATTTTTTTTAGGCCCTATTTTCACTACTCCTCAAGTGGTGTTCATTACTGCGAAGATCGCTTTCATATTCACGGCATTAAAACTGTTCAAATGAAATGAAATTACAAAGTTTCCTCTCCTCCATGGTAATTCTTAGAGAAGACTCCAAGTGATAAAGTGTCCGATGGCGACTGTTTTTTAATAAAAGATCAGTATACCACGATTTGTTCTTTAACGGATAAACCTAAAGTTGATACGGAGTTTTCTCCATATTATTCTCCCAGCTGATTCAAGCATCTTACAACGACCACTAAGAGCATGATATCTGAACTGGTGGAGTGAGTTTCTTTGCTTAACACCACATTTTGTAACCATTTAATCTATTGCCAGCTAACGACAGCAACATCTGCATTTCTTAGGAATTAATTTTTTCTACTTCTTTTAATCGAATTAAAGTTATTTTACTCAGTTTTGTTACAAGAAAATTTGTCCACTCTAAAACTGTTCAAACACACAAAAAAAATGTCACTAAACTTCTTGAAAGTCTTCGACGCAATGCTAAAGATTATAATATCCTTCCGATGTTACTTTAGAAAGTAACTTCATGACTTCAAACCGCGACCGAAGTTATACTTTGTTTAAAACCAGGCAAATTAAATTTTACCAAAAAAAAAAAAAAAGAGAAAAAAAGCAACCTTAGGCAAAGGCGTTTTTGAGCCTTACATAGCGATCATACGTCTTCCCCAGCTATCTATCGAACACTTTGACTCCTCTGTTTAAACGTAATGCTAAAAAAAGCACAATAGGAAGAAGGGAACGAAACATTTAACTTCCAGGTGTCAGTGAGACGTCCACAATTAGGGAAAGTCATAGGTATATACTTATAAGTTGTTATGATTTACACTTTATCGAAAAACGCATTATTTCCGTTACTAAAAAACAGTTCCCTAGAAACAGTTGCTCTTTACAAATAATCAGCTATGATTGGGTAATCTAGTTCAACAAGAATATCATACAGTTTTCCTACTGTGCTATGAGCCTTGACCTCCCAATTTCTTAAGACTTCATCAGCTGGATTTTCTATTCTTCTGTTGTCAAGGTATTGGATGGTGGTGTTGTCCAAACCAAGTTTCTCTGCTAAAGCTTTCCAATTGTCGTTCGCTGAAAATCCCAATGAAAAATGAACAAGGTTGGATTTTCGCCAATCTAAACATTAAACTATCTCTAACGCAACCATCCTTGGAACAGTCAATCATCAAGAACGAGAACGACAACAATTCAAAACAAACAAACAGACAAACAAATCAGGCAAATTGGCTCGTGGATAAATGATTCTTCATAGATCAGACAGCTTGCACACAGTAAGAAAGGGTGGCTCCACACAGACATAGATCTGGGAATTAAACTCATCATGACATTTGAACGTCTGACATCTTTTTGGTCAATATTGAATGAGAAGTATGCATCGGAAACAATACACAATATAATTATTGTCTTAGCCACTGCCTGAGTTTTAAGATTGCACTGTAGCTGACCGTAAGTTATCCTCCTTTAACGAAAATTGTGAAAAGGGATGCCACAATTTTGAATCTCTTTTTAGCATCCTGGAAGTTTTTACATTGACGTAACAAAAGTCTTATTCTTCTTTTCCCATCTCTTGGCGATCTGTTCTACTCAATTAATCATAATCATTACAGTTTCCTCAAATGTGATTGGTGCAGTAGCTGCTATATTTTTTTCACTAATCATTCGTTCATGAAGAAGACGTGACAAGACGAAAAAAACATCTTTCTCTAAAACATTTAATGTTACTCAAGCTTATTCTTAGTCTTTTCACGAAAGCGCCTGCTATTTGGGAATAAGCCGCACTGTTGGCGTTTCATACAGTTAAAAGTAATTCTAGCTGTTCTGAATTTTAATTGATAGGCAGATTGAGATGGAACATACCACACAAGTTTCTGGTCAGGTCTCTTCGATGGGAGTAGCGTATCTCTCTTACAAACGTATGGGGTGACAGCAGTGGACCTATCAAAGTAACAACAACACATTGTTTATTGTTATGAAAGGAACTGCAAAGCTTTTCCTAAGAGCAGAGATAAAATACTTGTTAGCTATCCACTGCCAAGCACGCTGTACGCACGTTTTACTACCCTACGCCTTACTTCGCACCACTGTACACATGCATATGTACAACACCCAACCTGCGCCTTAGTGTATAACAAGCCGACTGGTCTATCAGAACTCGAGCTAATCCTAACTCCTGTAGCATACAACGAATAGTACAACTTTATTACTCCGACTGGACAGGTTGATTATACTTTACAAGTGAGCCCCCTCACCTACCCTCCCCCAAAGTAAAGTATGTCAAGCACAGCATAATGACCAGCTCAGGAAATAAAATATGACCTCCCCCCCATGTTTTATGATAGACCAAAACCTATAGCTTTATACTCATGCAGGGCTAAATCAACATCATTACTGCAAAACTCACCAATGACTCCCTTATGAGCAGGCAAGGCCTGCCTAAATGTCTTTATCACACTTGGTCTTTCACCATCTGTAATCAGGTTTGTGTATCTACGAATGGAGTAATTTTTGCTTTCTAGCATCATTTCTGGTAGGGACGTTTTGTTTTGCCCAGGCACTTTTTCAAGTTCACTCCTCAACCGGTTTATTGCAAGCTGTCCCAGCTTATTTGTGATACGAGTTGCTTCATCGAGGGTTAGGTCTCCAAAACATTTAACTTCTCTCGGACCTGAAAACAATATTAAATGCAGTTAAATGCAATTTCACAGAGTTAACAACAAAGAGCCTCAGCATTCTCTAGTAGTCAGCGGTTTAGTATATGCACGTGTCGGAATTCCATGTGCTTTTCATTCGAGGCATTCTTGCGTGTGCTTTGGGCGTGAACTTTCAGTGCTGTTCGGAGTGGCAGCTCATCGTCCACGCAGTTTTCCCCACCCCTTCCCTCCCTCTTTCCTCTGTTTATTCAGTGTGATGGGTGCCTGTTTCCCTTTCCTGCGTGGGGGCCCATGGCTGGGTTATCAGGATTTTCCAACCATGGGAGCACACTCCATCTAGGAGCTGGCTGCCAATAGTCAAGCTCCTCACATTTTTTCCACATTTGATCTTGTTATGTATTTTTAGTTTGTCGAGCGTTTTTTTTAACATGAGCCTCTGGCAAACACTTCCCACATCTTCAACATTAAATATTAAACTATTCTATTCTATTCCCAGATGTCTTGGGCACCCAACCTCCACTTGGTGATTCAGTTGTTAAATTGATATTGGTATGTACATGAGCCAAAAATCATAACCTACATGTACAATGCAGGTGTACTTTTTGGTTAGCAATGGCAAAGTATAAGTATTCTCTTATTACATATACAGTAGCCATCTTTAATACAAAAAGCAAACACAAGTTGGGGTGTGAAATAAATTCAGACCAAACTGATGGCTGACAGGCAGAATGAAAGAAGGAGGATGGGTAAAGTGAGCATGTGCTCAACTTTTTGTGCTTATCTCCTTAACCCTTTAACTCCCAGATCGAATTTGTCATTCTCCTCACTGTCAACCACATTATTCTTACGATGTTAGTTCAGAGAATTTAGTATTGGATCCGCTAATTATCCCCGAATTGATATTTTTCTTTATTCTCATTACTTATCTGGTTGATATAGTATTGATATTGTAAGGAGAAATTCTGTGTTGGTCACTCATGGGAGTGAAAGGGTTAATTAGTGTCTTCTTCTACCTTAATCTAATATGGTATCTGAGCAAACTATTCCTAATAGCACCCCTAATTTGATTCAATGTGAGCTATGCAAATCCTTGTCCAAAACTATTATAACACTTTACCCTCAAGGTGATAATGGGTGACAATCAAGTAACCAGCCCCTTTTCTGGATAAGCATGAAAAGAAATGATGAGCAATGATGAAAGAAAAAAGGAGTGGAACTTGGCATGGTAGCCTTGCCTTTTGCTTTAGTGTTTGTTGTTTCACTTCAATTACATCCAAAAGAGGAGCTCATTAAATGGCTTACAACATGAAAATTAGTCAGAAGGAAGAAACAATTACTAGGGATGAGATGCACCATTTACATACATACACCTAGCTATGGGTAGACAACAAGATTGAGGCATGTAGTATAAATAGATTTGGTACTTTGATAGACAGTCATGTGAATTGTGATTTGAACCTTTAACTACTGCACAGAGATTGAGGCAGTGCAAGCAACTTGCCTCCTGAGGGACCTGATATTAGGTTGACCAATCCAAGCATTCATTCAGATGCCAGTATTGGCAAAGTTGCATACTGCACAGAGAAGTTACATGTAAATAACTTCTGGGAATTGAAGGGTTAAGGCAATTAATAGTATATTTTATTTCACTCACTTAAACTCTCAAATTTCTTTGTCATATCATTAACAGGGCTATCAACATTGTCCTGGCCAAGGTTAAGAGGTTTCAGAAGGTAGCGTACACAATCTTTGCGCTGAGAACGATTTACAGCATCAAGGAGAGTCTGAACAGTAGCCCTACTTCCATCAAGAGAAATCCAGCCCTTGATAACATTGAGTGTATGGCTTCCAGGTTCTTTTTCCACAAAAGATTCTCCCTCAGCTGGCAAGCCAAGTTCTTTGAAAAGTCTGAAATAAAAGGACAATGGGCCGAGGTGAAGAGGTGCTATATCACAGGAAACAAGCCAAATTGCTCATACCACAGAAATCTTTTGCAGTTTCTGTAGGTTAAGCACATAGGACTAATGCTACTCCCCTTGATTTTACCAAGTTTGATTACAGGCTACCTTAGGCGTTTTGTCATATTCTCTAATAGCTCCTTGATACCAGTTTAAACTCCTGGATTGAGGAGTTTCATTGAAGATCAAACTACAAAATTCAAAATTTTTGTACTAATAACACTACAGTGTAAAATGAACATGAAATTCTGAAAAATAAGCCAACCTTTTCCATCCATTCCCAAAAATTTCTTTGTCCATTTCTTTACAGAATTTTCCAAACACCTCGGGTTGCTCATCTAAAATATCTTGGACTTCCGATTTTAATGAGTAAACAGAGGTTTCTTGTATGGAACCAATATGTGTGGATGATTTTTCATCATTAGGAGATCCTACACATATTAAGAAAAAATTAGTATATAATTCACTGACTGATTGCTCAAGAGATAAATGCAAGAAGCACCTTGACAATTGCTTAATGTTAGACTGTGCATATAAAAGAATACTTATAAAATAATGCAAAAGAGTGTTGTAAGAAGAGAGGCACAGTTCTTGAAAATATCCACAAATAGGTGAATTTTGAAGTTAGGGGCCATTTAAACTTGTGATCTATGTTCTACTTTTCTGAAATGCCTTGGATCTGGGCATCTAATAAATAAAGTGAATAAAATGAATCACATCCTTTCAATCACAATTACTGATAATTAATGTGACCCTTAAAACCAAATGAAATAATTCAAATGTTTTCTACGAGGTTCACAGCATGACCATTCCAAACTGACAAGTAACATCTGTTATGAATCATCAAGAACATCATGTGGTTCACATGTTATAAAAGATGCTGAAAATAGTGTTACATATACAGAACCTTCTCTTCCAGATTCCTGTATTTTTTTAGCCAATGGTGAATCAAAGATCTCTAGTGCTTTCACAAAATATCTAAATGCTTCAGGACCCTTTTTTGGAAGTATTTCAGTCAGCAGTTGATCCATTTTGGTGCAGTTTGACTTTTGATCACTTTGCAGTTCTTGTTTGTCATACTCATCAAGCACTTTGGTTAGATAAGGTAGCAACTTTTTTATATCCATGGAAGAAAATTGATCTGAACTTGTGCGAAGCACTCTCTTGTGTTCTTCTGTCATACCAACCTCATCTGAACAAAACAAAAATTTTTCATGCAATCTCTGCCAAGGTAGCTATACTAAATATTAGCGGATAGAAAGGAGATAATATCTTCATATATGAATCCTACTTTTCCTGTTTTTTCCTCACACACATGTGAATGAAATTACTGATAGAAGCCTTCCTCAATTACATTCATTGTGTTACAGAAAACCGTATATATGCATCAGTAAAAAAAGCCTGTGTTGTGTGGGGCTATTGACTCCTATGCAACACTCATAGACCTACAGTTACAGAAAGTTGTTTTGTGAATTATACAACTGGGTCTTACCAAATTTTTGACCATGCCAAGCACTTATATACCTCTGTTTAAATAACAGAAGTACTTATTTGGGTATTTAATAAATACATGTACTGTTAGTTAACATATATTTACTTCAGTAAATGGTTTGAACCCAGGGGTAACATGTAATAGTGTAGTCTGATCAATTGGGAGATTATAGTCCTTAGCATCACAAACAATCTGAACACAAAGACCAAACTTTACCAATGGATCAAAACTGACCACTCACAACTGACTCACAACACTTGAGTCTCACATCCAATAACATCATGGCTACACTGACCAATCAGTTTACACGAATTGGACTTAGTACATTCAACTGACATCATCTATTCACTTGACTCTTATAACGACTTCCACTCAGATTGTCAAAACATCAGTCACTACTACCCACAACAGTCCTTCTCAGGACAACAATCACCCGGGCAATCAGAATACACTATCACATACATGAACTTGTAACATTTGGTTATCTGCTGCTGTAAAACAGGCACATCTTTTTCTTGCCAACATGCAGGCATGCCTTCTTTCCTACATAGTTTATCATTTTCTTTTGCACACTTAGAAGAACAAAAAACAACTAACACCAATATGGAAGAATGTGCATGGGTCAGCAAAAGGAAGTGGGTACAGAGAAAGACAAACATTGGGTCTGTTGTACAGTTCCTTGGATTTTATTGTGTGAACCAGTAGGGTAAGTGAGCAAGAATTTCTCCACATCAAAGAAGTTTTCAGTATCAGTCTATGACCTTTAAATCTACAGATCTGATTACCAATTCCCCTCTCTAACTGCCACATTTTTTTTCTGAGTAGAAAAAGTTGGTATTACACCCTCTTGAAGATAATCTTTTCGATTTCCGTCACCTATTGGCAGAATAATGTTTTGAAATCACGAAGAGAACTTACGTGTTGATCAGTTTTGGGAGTTTGTATGGACATAGGGAAATACAGATGAGGAGTAAACGTGAACGATGTTGTTATCCATACTTCTTACTTGCAAACCATACTTTTGTCGGTGAACAAACAAAAACAACCTTACCTTTCAAAAAACTTGACTCGTCCATTCCTGAAGCCCTTATGAGAGGCTCCGCGAGGAATCTCTGGCTACTATTGTACAGAGCTGTGATAAAGTTCTGAAAAGCATCATCTCCCTTTCTGGGAAGCATGTCGAGTAATTCTTCAGCCTGTTCTGATCGTGTTTTCTTTGCTTTCACCAGCTCCCGATCATCATCACCAAGAACGTCAAGTCTGTTTAACAGCTTCAGAGGTTCTAGGTCCCTTACAAGCACTTGTCGATGCTTTCGAAGGATTTTTCTGTGTTCCTCTTCCATTTTAGAAGGCAAAAGCGGAAGCACAGAGAGTCTTCTTTAGTTATCAATTACGAAATGACTTCTTTCCGAAACCAAATATTTCCTACATAAATGACATTTAAATCACAGAAGAAGAAGCCTATTCACAATACCAAAACACTTCGAGCTCCGTCATCTCTTTGACCCAGAGTTTGCCAGATAATCAACGAAAGACGACGAGATTGGGGTGGTTGGGCAACGATGAGGGAATTTGTGAGCCTGCGAATAACAGACAAACTCTATATTAAATAACTATCATATAGTGTACCAAAATATATGCTAAATCCAACATGGCGGACATATGGCATAGGTAGAACCCCACAATAAGTCTAATTTATTTCTTCTCTTTGAGGTGACGCATGAAATATGCAGTGTGCTTTGTTCCTGCAAACCATGATTAATGATTCTGGGAAGGATAACGACTTCCTTCCAGTTCAGATGAAAAGGAGGAAGCCATGGAGAAAAGTGTTATATGAAGACCAAGGTGTTCCGGATAATTATGTAGACAAGTCGTTTCTTGATGAAATGAGGAAAAATCGTGAGTACAGCACTTTATGGATGAGGATTTATATCAAATTGCTATCTCTAGTGTACCGATTTTGCGATGCTCTGTATTGGTGTGCTGCATGTGCCCCATTCGGTTGTAAAGAGATTCCGCACTGAGCAGCCGTCAAATATTGAAGTTTATGAGAATGTTGGCAACTGATATGTTATTTGGTTCCTTCTCAAGAATTTGAATATATTTTTGGAATGATTTGAAGCCTATGCATGCTTAATTTGAAAACAAATTATCGGGCAACCTATAAGATATCTGCAAGTACGAGTTTAAATGGGATTTACGAATGTGCGGTGTAGCTAGTTGATCACGTTGTGGTTCAATTTATCATGGTTTCAATTATTTTTTTTGAAATGTAAATGTCACATCAGATTTTACTAAGCCTGAAGACGACAGAAAAAGAGTAGCTTAGGATATGAACCCACAACAGATATAGATTTGACAGACATATGAAAAGCAAATGAAAGTTAAAGGTAAATTTCTGATAAACTTTTAGTAAATACAAGAACCTACCAGTTCTGGTCAGTGGTTTCAGAGTCTGGAGCAGTGTCTCAACAGTTAAGCAGGTTAGAGGAATAAAAGTTACATTTTTTTTAAGAGCTGATGTACTGATGTCTGGCTGTTTGTGTCTTGACAGCTAAGCCATTCCAAGTAAGATCATCATGCTAGCAGTGGTTCTGATCCTATTCCATGCACCAATTTAAGAAAAAAGTCACGCACAACTTGTAATATGAACGGCATTTCACACATCACCAATTAAAGATGGAGAACTTAAAATCTCACCCTACCTTGCTTTTCTGTAAATTCACACATCACGTATTAATTTTGGGCTTAATCGTAAGTTTTAAAAATAGAAACCCTTTGCCACCTTCAGAGAGGGTTTTGA